CCCCACGGACACCCTCACTGTCCTGGTCTCACCCACACCCACCCATCGGGTCCCTGCAAGTCCCAGGAGGGACATCGGGGAGGGGTCAGAGCTGTTGTCACCAGCAACATCAACCCCCTGCATTCCAGCTCTCTTCTTCAAAGTGTGGTGAGAGCCTGGCCCAGGGTGCCCAGGGAAGCTGTGGCTGCCCCATCCCTGGCAGTGTTGAAGGGCAGGTTGGATGGGTCTTGGAGCAGCCTGGGCTGGTGGGAGGTGTCCCTGCCCATGGCAGTTGTGGGATTGGATGATCTTGAAGGTCCCTTCTGACTCAAACCACCCTGTGATTCCATGGTTCTTGTCTCCAGCTACCCCCAGCTTCTCCCCTCAGTCCCACACGATTTGGTGCTTCATTCCCCACCCCAGCACCTCCGACATGGCAGCAACGGGGCAAAGCCTTCCTCTGCTCATCCTCTGCTCATCCTCTGCTCATCCTCTGCTCTTCTGCCTCCCAACCTGCACCGAGCAGAAAATCTCACACCTTTGGGGCCATTTTTCCCTTCTCACCTCGTTTCCGTGTCCTTGGCTGGTCCAGGGGAGCCGAACCCCGAGAGCGGGCGATCGCCGGGGCCGGGAAAGAGCTCGGGGGGGCCAGAGGAGCTGGGGTTCCGTGGCTTGTTGACAGGGCTCTCCATGAAGACGGAGGAGCAGGAGTCCTTGCGGAAGGACTGACGGACGGGCGAGGAGCGGCTGGGGGGGCCCGAGTAGGGGCTGTGGGGGCCCTGGCCCTGCTGCACGTCCACCAGGCGGCCATCAGCCATCTTCTGAGGGGAGGAGGGGGGCATGCGGAACCCCAGGCCGGGCCCGTACGTGTCGCTGTAGATGGGAGCATTGGGTTTGTACAGACTGTCCTCTAGTTCCGTCTGCAGGGCGGCCGCCGAGTAGGTGCTGAGCGAGCGCACGGAGCCCCGCTTGTACAGCCCCCCCGAGTAGCCAAAAGGGTCTCCCATGCCCGCCAGGGACTGGGTGGAGGTGATGCTGAGCCGGCCCTCGTGCACCATGCCGTAGGGATCAGCGTACAGCCCCTCGTTCTTCATCAGCACCACGTTCTTCCCGGCCAGGTCTTCATCTGGTTTGACATCCCGACGCTCCAGGATGGCGCTGGGGCTGGGAGAGACCCCCGGGGCAGGTGGGAGGTTGGAGAGACGCTCGCTGTGGTGGACGGGGCTGCCGGCGTAGGAGGGCGGGCGGCCCCCGCTGTAGGACATGCGGGAACGGGACGGGGAGGAGGACTGGAGCACTGGGGGAGGGGAGCCCGAGGCCAGGTGGGAGGCTGGAGACATGTTGTTCAGGCGACGGGTGGGAGAGGACTCCCTGGAGGTGTACACCATCTCCCTCTGTGGAAAGAGGTGGGGTGGGGGTCAGCACGGTGGCCCCATGGGCTGGATCCTGCCCTGGCTCTGCCTGGATGGGACCTGCCTCCCTGCAGCCCTCCAAGGAGCAAGGTCTGCAGCTCCTGTGTCTTCACCCAGCCTTGGCAAACAGCAGCTCCCTCATTCCCATCCAGGAACGGGATGATTTATTCTGATGAATCCCCTAATTATCATGTTTATTACCCTGCTGTGACGCCCCAAACATCCATTGTCTTAAAGTAACACTTAACAACTCTGAAACCAGGCAAGACGAATTGTGGTCATTACTCCATCCACAAACACACACAATTACCAGTCCCAGTCTCCATCGCCTCCCCTCTTTGCTGGTCCCAGCGCCCCAGGGCACCCACACCACAGGTTCTCCCCACAACACTGTGTCCCCCCTTACCCTCAGGTCACCGTTGGTGATGTGTGAGGCTGGGAACGAGGCGTAGAGAGGCTCTTTCCGGTAGATTTTAATGATACTTCTGTCCTGGATGTCACTGAAAGGAGATGAAGACCCATGAGCATCCCAGACAAGCAGAGCCATGAGCATCCAGGTCAACCACCAAGCCCCCAGCAAGTCCTAGCCCCAGGACTGCACCCACACCCACCCTTCTGCTTCCATCCTATTGATTTCCCAGCTCATGATGCTCTCAAAGAAAGGGGAATCCATCCGTGGTGGATTCCTGAGCACCCTGCCCTCACCGGACGTCCTCCAGCTCGTAGAAGACGTTGCGTGACTCGTCCTTGATGAGGATGGCAGTGTTGGGAGACTTCAGCATCCCCATGGTGAGCTTCTGGGGGAACATGTGGACAATGAGGGCGTGCAGGGTGTCCATGCTGCTGATCTCGTGGGTGATGTGGACGCGCCTCGTCTCATCCCCAAACTGTAGGAAAAGGACCCCTGGAAGCAGAGGGAGCAGAAAGCGGTGAGATGTGCATCTCCACCCAAAGCTGAAGACATGCTCAGGCCACCAACACAGGTTTCTCCACCTTCTTGGAGGTCTCTGTGCCCAACTGAGGACTCAGGGACCTCTGGGCACCCAATCTCACCCTGCAGCAGCAAGGCTGAAGGCTTCTCGTCCCCCTCACCCTGTGCAGCACCTCCTGCTCCTCCTGGGGCGATTTGGGCAGATCCAAACCAACCCCACACCCGGCCCGTGGCAGCATCTGCCCATCCCAGGGGGTGCTGAGCCCCAGGGGTACCTGGTGAGCGCAGCTTGGTCTGGCTGGTGGAGCGGGACAAGGGCAGGCTCTGCCGGAACCGGTTCATCCTGTTGAAGCCCAGGGGCAGCTCCGCTTCCGACATGGTTTCCAGGGACTCAGCCGAGGCAAAGGAGAGTTTGGCTTGATCGGCCAAGCCAGGCTGGGAGCCCTGGGAGTGTCGGGAGCTCCTTGTCTGGAAGGGGAGAAGGGAGAAGTCAGAGGAGAGCTGCACTGGGTTCCCTGTGCTACTCCCACGTTTTCTCCAGAGCCCAGAGCTTGGGTGAGGCTGAGCTGCATCCAGGGATGCTCAGTCCCAGCACACGGATGTGGCTCAGATCCAGCACCAGCTCCAGGCCTCCCCATCTCCTGCTCTAACCACGTACAACCATTCACAGTCCCCTCACCTCCTGCCACTCTCTCACATTTCCCACTTCAGGCTCCCCCCACTCTGCATTTCAAAGCCTCCCCGAGCCATTCTGGGTGCCTTTGAGCTCCCTCACCAGCCACACACTGGAAATAAAACCAGCTGGTGACAGAGCCAGGGCTCGCATGCAAGCTCTGGAATAACCTTAGCAATTACAGGAGGTTACACATCCATTACACCAATGAACCAGCTCCTGGGGAACATAAATGCCCAGCTTCTTCTGGAAGCAAAGCAGCAGCAAGGTTTATGGCTGCCTGAGCCAGGGGAAGGTAATGGGCTGGGGTTTAGAGCAGTAAAAATTTAATATGCCAGGAGTCCAATTTCACATGGCCAAGCGTAATTCCACTGCCTGAAAGTTCAGGCTCCAGGCAGGGGCTTTCTGCACAAACATCTCCAGCCACACAGCCAGGTCCTCTTGTCAGAGGTGCCCGCAGTGAACGTCGCCTGTCACCGCCCCAAAGGCCCAGGCTTGATTTTCCAGACACACGTTGAACGCTGGCAAATCAAACAGAGAGAACAAACAGCTCCTGGGGTGTGGAAAAGGCAGCATGGAAGGGAGCACAGCTCTATTTTAAGACCAAAAAAAATAAATAAAAAAGAAAGAAAAATCAATAGGAAACGCTAACAGCCATCATCATCATTTAAATTAGACATTAATTGGAAGATTTAATTAATCCTGCGGGGCGGGGTTTTCTAGGACTTGAAATGGTCTCGCTGTAGCTAATTGCTGGAAAATTGAGTGCTTAGTGCTGTTGTTGTTTTCCCACAAAGCAGGCTGGCAGCACGGGTGCTGAGAGGCTTCCAGCAGCAAGGGGAGCTGGACCATGCAGATCCTCTCCCCCATGCAGGTTTTGGGGGTGAAGCAGCTGGTTTTGGGGCTGCCTGTCCTTGTACAGCCTGGGGACACCCTGAAGGTTTGTGGTCCCACCTCTCTCATGGCTGGTTTTGCCACCCTTTCCTCTCTGCCCCCTTCCCTGCTCTGTGCCAGCAGCGTCTCACCCTGCTCTGTCTCCATCCATCTTCCTCCACTGCCCCCTCTCAACCCCCCCAGAAAAGAGCCCACATCTGGGCTGGACCTTAAAAGCCACTGAGCTTTCACACGAGCTGGCCAAAGGCCGTGGGTTCACAGCCCATCATCCCCTCCCCAGGACCCATTTTTCTGGAGAAAATCATTGTAAGAAAACATGTGTTGGATCTCTGCCTTCCCCCCTGCCCTCCCAGGGCACCACAGGGTGGCAGAGGCCATGTTGCCAAGTGCAATCCCTGCTGCTAAGGTGTGTGAGCCTCGGCACATCACCCCAGGGCACTGCAGCCCCTGCAGCCCCACAACCAATGCCCCATGGTGCCTATAGCCCCTATAGCCCCACACCCGACGTCCCATGGTCCCTACAGCCCCTGTAGCACAACACCCAGTGCCCTGCAGTCCCTAAGTTTTGTTCCCCAGGTGCTATTTGGGTGGTTTTCCCAGTGAAAACCCACACGTGAAGCACCCTGCTCCCCCAAGGCCCCCCTGGGCAGGGACAGGAGCATCCCCAGCCCCTCTACACCTCCCTGGGAGTCTTATATAAAAGAGGTAGGACAGGGAACAGGGGAGACCTGGGGGCTTTTGTCTTTTATCTCCCCAGAGCTAAAAAAAGACACAATTAAGTGATTCTTTTAGCTCCTAAAACTCCCAACAATCCCTTCACTGTCAGCACTGAGGCAGCTTCATTCTATCTGCCTGGGCAGATAAGGATGCTTTCCTCTGCCTTCTCTCCCCTCCCTTCACCTTGTCCCCAGCCTCCCCTCCCTTCTTCCACACCCCTCTCCCATATTACCTTCCCCAGCTTAATGGGATGAAAGCTCAGGAATGGAAGGAAGGAGGGAAGGAGCCAGAGGTGTTTGGGGGACCCAGGCAAGAAGTGGGACTGTCCCTCTGGCCCCACAGTGATGGGCACCATGGTTACCCCACTGGAGCAGGGGACGTAGTGGAGCTTCTCTGCTCTGATGGAGAGTCATAAATGGCTCCAGGGAAGAAGGAGCCAGTTTGGGAGGGAAGCAGAGGGACCAGGGGCACAGAGGGGGGCAGCAGAAGGGGTTTGGAGGGAGTGGAGCTGGGGCAGAGGAGCAGCTCGGGACCCCCTCGCAGGGCACTTCAAAGAAAAGAGAGAAAAAGAGGCTCCTGCCCCGGGCTGGAGCAGGGCACCCTGCAGCTGTTCCCGTGCAAAGCTCAGAGCCGCTGCAGCTCATTAAGATTTCCACTTACTTCCTAAGACAGGCAGCAAACGTGACCCTGCAAAGGGACCCTCGGAGACAGGGCAGAGGGTCTGTCCCAGCGGAGGTGGTCGAGGGCAATGTCAGCCCTGATCCACGGAGCCATTTCAGGCCATTCCTGCCTCCCCCCCTGCCCCTCACACGCCCCATTTCAAAGCCTTCCCGAGCCGTTCCGGGTGCCTTTGAGCTCCCTCACCAGCCACACACTGGAAATAAAACCAGCTGGTGACAGAGCCAGGGCTCGCATGCAAGCTCTGGAATAACCTTAGCAATTACAGGAGGTTACACATCCATTACACCAATGAACCAGCTCCTGGGGAACATAAATGCCTGGCTTCTTCTGGAAGCAAAGCAGCAGCAAGGTTTATGGCTGCCTGAGCCAGGGGAAGGTAATGGGCTGGGGTTTAGAGCAGTAAAAATTTAATATGCCAGGAGTCCAATTTCACATGGCCAAGCGTAATTCCACTGCCTGAAAGTTCAGGCTCCAGGCAGGGGCTTTCTGCACAAACATCTCCAGCCACACAGCCAGGTCCTCTTGTCAGAGGTGCCCGCAGTGAACGTCGCCTGTCACCGCCCCAAAGGCCCAGGCTTGATTTTCCAGACACACGTTGAACGCTGGCAAATCAAACAGAGAGAACAAACAGCTCCTGGGGTGTGGAAAAGGCAGCATGGAAGGGAGCACAGCTCTATTTTAAGACCAAAAAAAATAAATAAAAAAGAAAGAAAAATCAATAGGAAACGCTAACAGCCATCATCATCATTTAAATTAGACATTAATTGGAAGATTTAATTAATCCTGCGGGGCGGGGTTTTCTAGGACTTGAAATGGTCTCGCTGTAGCTAATTGCTGGAAAATTGAGTGCTTAGTGCTGTTGTTGTTTTCCCACAAAGCAGGCTGGCAGCACGGGTGCTGAGAGGCTTCCAGCAGCAAGGGGAGCTGGACCATGCAGATCCTCTCCCCCATGCAGGTTTTGGGGGTGAAGCAGCTGGTTTTGGGGCTGCCTGTCCTTGTACAGCCTGGGGACACCTTGAAGGTTTGTGGTCCCACCTCTCTCATGGCTGGTTTTGCCACCCTTTCCTCTCTGCCCCCTTCCCTGCTCTGTGCCAGCAGCGTCTCACCCTGCTCTGTCTCCATCCATCTTCCTCCACTGCCCCCTCTCAACCCCCCCAGAAAAGAGCCCACATCTGGGCTGGACCTTAAAAGCCACTGAGCTTTCACACGAGCTGGCCAAAGGCCGTGGGTTCACAGCCCATCATCCCCTCCCCAGGACCCATTTTTCTGGAGAAAATCATTGTAAGAAAACATGTGTTGGATCTCTGCCTTCCCCCCTGCCCTCCCAGGGCACCACAGGGTGGCAGAGGCCATGTTGCCAAGTGCAATCCCTGCTGCTAAGGTGTGTGAGCCTCGGCACATCACCCCAGTGCCCTGCAGTCCCTAAGTTTTGTTCCCCAGGTGCTATTTGGGTGGTTTTCCCAGTGAAAACCCACACGTGAAGCACCCTGCTCCCCCAAGGCCCCCCTGGGCAGGGACAGGAGCATCCCCAGCCCCTCTACACCTCCCTGGGAGTCTTATATAAAAGAGGTAGGACAGGGAACAGGGGAGACCTGGGGGCTTTTGTCTTTTATCTCCCCAGAGCTAAAAAAAGACACAATTAAGTGATTCTTTTAGCTCCTAAAACTCCCAACAATCCCTTCACTGTCAGCACTGAGGCAGCTTCATTCTATCTGCCTGGGCAGATAAGGATGCTTTCCTCTGCCTTCTCTCCCCTCCCTTCACCTTGTCCCCAGCCTCCCCTCCCTTCTTCCACACCCCTCTCCCATATTACCTTCCCCAGCTTAATGGGATGAAAGCTCAGGAATGGAAGGAAGGAGGGAAGGAGCCAGAGGTGTTTGGGGGACCCAGGCAAGAAGTGGGTCTGTCCCTCTGGCCCCACAGTGATGGGCACCATGGTTACCCCACTGGAGCAGGGGACGTAGTGGAGCTTCTCTGCTCTGATGGAGAGTCATAAATGGCTCCAGGGAAGAAGGAGCCAGTTTGGGAGGGAAGCAGAGGGACCAGGGGCACAGAGGGGGGCAGCAGAAGGGGTTTGGAGGGAGTGGAGCTGGGGCAGAGGAGCAGCTCGGGACCCCCTCGCAGGGCACTTCAAAGAAAAGAGAGAAAAAGAGGCTCCTGCCCCGGGCTGGAGCAGGGCACCCTGCAGCTGTTCCCGTGCAAAGCTCAGAGCCGCTGCAGCTCATTAAGATTTCCACTTACTTCCTAAGACAGGCAGCAAACGTGACCCTGCAAAGGGACCCTCGGAGACAGGGCAGAGGGTCTGTCCCAGCGGAGGTGGTCGAGGGCAATGTCAGCCCTGATCCACGGAGCCATTTCAGGCCATTCCTGCCTCCCCCCCTGCCCCTCACACGCCCCAGCCCTCAGCACCCCTGGCTCAGCCACGGTGAGAACATTGTTTGCAACCAGGAGACAGGGCAGAAGAAGGATGGTCCCTGAGCTCCCCGCAGCAACGTGCCACATC